AAATCGCTTTATTGAAGAAGACAATTAAATTTCTCATTAATAATAACTACAAATGACTATCTTATCTACTTTAGATTATACTTAATTATTTTGTAATACAAATTTAGTAAAATATAGTAATTAAGCATAGATTCAAAAAAAAATAGTTGAATTTTTCTTTAAATATAATCAACTAAATAGAATAGTCTATATATATAATGGATGTTTTCCAAGCGAAAAAATAATGTTATTTTGAAAATTAGATATTTCTAAAAAATAATTGATGATAAGACATTTATAACTATGCCATGAATAACACATTAGAATTTTATATCAGAATCATTCCAAAAAGAATTAAGATATATAGATGCTGGTGAAATTATTTTACTAATTTTAACCATGAATACAAAATACAGTTACACCAATAATATTAATTAAGAGGATATTTCAAAATAAATAAATAAAAGATCTCTCAATACCTACTTAGCAATTATAATATTTTAAAATAGATGTATTTTATGTAGGATACTATATTAAATTAGAATATATTTAATATATGTAAATAAAGTATAACATAATTAGGATATACATTTTTTAAAAATTATTTTCATTTAATATAGAATTTTCACTTAACTTAAATATATTCAATATTTAAGTTAAAGGGCAAAAATATCTAAAAATAAACTAGTTTATAGTGTGAACATGTCCTTTTACAATTCTGGCTAAATTTGTTATGCCCAAAAGGATTTTCCCATTAGGATATACATTTTTAAAAAATTATTTTCATTTAATATAGAATTTAAAGTTAAAAGGGTAAAAATATTTAAAAAGGTAAAATAACATAAAAAAATATTATTCAGGCCAAATTTTCTTGCAAAAAATATCAATGTCTTGGAAACATAATTGAAGAATATATTCAATATTTAAGTTAAAAAGCAAAAATATCCAAAAATAAACTAATTTATAGCGTGAACATGTCTTTTTTCCATTCTGACCAAATTTTTATGACCAAAAGGATTTTTCCTTTCCAAATTATATTATATGCATTCCAGTAACGACAAGTCTTTGCCCAAAATCTGAAGCTGACAACAATAGGAAGTAGTAAATAAAGAGGGTCCATAAAAAAACTTACTCGCAAGTCGCAATGAATATTTATATCATGTAGGGGGTGCGGATTAAACTGAATAATCAAATTAAATTAAATCAAATTTTTATTTGGATTGATTTATTGGTTTTTTGAATTGGTTTTGAATTAATAAACTACTTTGTTTGGTTTTTTGGTTTGATTTCGAGTTTTAAAATATAAAAACCGAAAAAATCGAATTATATATATATATATATATAAAAAAAATGTTTAGGTTTAGAATTAAGTTGGAGTTAACCACTTTTGTTCCTTTTTGGTTATTGCTTTCATAATGATTACGTTTATATTTTATGTTTGAATTACATCTATAATAGGTATACTTATAAGTATTGTATTTTAAGTTTTACTTATGATAAAATATATTTAAGGGATTAAATATTATTACTTTGGTTATGTTATTAATTATTGACATAACCGAATAACCAAACCGAAAAAAGTCGAACCGAATAGAGGAAAACCAAATCAAATCAAATTTATTTTGGATCGGATTGGGTTGAACTTTTACAAAATCAAAAACCGAAAAATCTAAACCGAATAATGCAAAATTAAACCGAAAAACCGAATACACACCCCTAATATTATGTATTTGAAATTTTCAAATAGTTATTTTATTTTAACATAATTAATTAACATATATTTTTGTTTCATTAGATCACATAATCATCAGCCTAAAGTCTTACAGAACTTGTCGGAATTCAGCCCAGGATGCGAAAGGAAAAGGAGAAAAATTTATAAGCAAAGTTTCCTTTACTAAAAGTTTTCGATATTCACCTTTTCTCCTCCATTAATTTCACTTTACTAGCCACAATATTTGTACTCCCTCTGATTCTTTATACAAGACATTATTTTATAATTTATTTCATAAAATGATACCTTTTTAGTATTTGAATTTTTTAACTTGGAACTTTTTATTTACCTGAATAATGTGATATTATAATACTAAAAAACTTCATGACATATTTATATCGTAAATTCTAAAAATATTTTTATGTATTAAAAAAATTTGAAAGTGGTGTCCAATAAAACACTGTTCATATAATACGAAACCAAAAGAGTTATTTTATAGTACTAAATAAAAGTCTTGTTTTTTGTTTAAAAAATACCATTAAGTTATCTTTATATATTGTAATAGGCAATTATACTATATTTGATAGTATTAATAAACTTATTCTTTAATTTTATTATTACTGTTATTGTTTTTAATTTGATTATCTTCACTAAAAATTTTTTATCGATACTTCTGTTTATTTACTTCTTCTTTTTTTCCAAACATGTTCTAAAAAATAATTGCAGAGTATCTGAAAATAAATGTTGTAATCTTGATCGTACAAACGGCTACATGCCATTTTCACAACATCTGTGAAAGGCAATAGCTTTTGGGTCCCAAAAGTAAGTCACTCTCTTCTTCTGCGCTTCCTCGAAATTGTTCATTAGAAAGTGAAGTGACCATCTCCTCCAATCCTTGTGCACTCGGGGAAAACAAAAGATGTCTTCTTAAATACACTCTCTTTGCCTTTTTATTTATCAAATTTTGATTTGACACATTTATTAAATAAATACTCCTTAGTAATGGGTTGTTTAGTAATTGGATATAATAAGTCTTATTCATGTATTAGGGTCTGTATAACTTATACGACGTTTGGTAGGTGAAAGAGAAAAAAGTTATTTATATATATATAATTAATACGATATTTGGTAGGTGGATAAGAAAATAGTTATTCATGTATATGATTAATACAATATTTGGTAGGTGAATAAGAAAAAAATATTATTCATGCATAAAATTAATATGACATTTGGTTGACAATTTTGAAATTCGCATAACTAATACATGTATAAGTTATGAGGAAATTTGTGTCTTATTTATGCAGAGTAAAAGATGAAATAATTAATACGTGTATAGCTAATACATGGATAAAAAATTAAAATGACAATATTACCATTATCACTCCCACTTGGCTACTTTCTTCTTCTACATAATTAAAGAAATATTTTAATTTAAATACAAAGTTAAAGAAGGAAAATTACAAAGTTAAAGAAGAAAATGGTATAATTGTAAAAAAGTGTTTTAATTTAGAAAATATTTAATTTTACTAATAATATAAAAAACCAACACCAAAGGAATAATTTATGCATTACTAAACTCTGCATAACTAAACTCAGGGGTGGAGCCAACCTTCTTTTAGGGGGTTCATCCGAACCCCCCTCGGTGAAAAATATTACTATTTATACATGGTTAAAATTATTTTTTATGTGTATATAGTAGATGTTGAACCCCCTTCGATTAGTTCGTGTATTTAGTTCTTCAGATTTTGAACCCCCCTTATTAAAAATTTCCGCTTCGCCACTAACTAAACCCTGCATAGTATACACTTGTATAACTAATACTCACATTACACATTACTAATACTGCATAACTAATATCCACACTTGACACTACTAATACATGTATAACTCTATCTTGCTACCAAACGACCCTTAAGTTTATTATTTTAATCCTATTAATTGATGGGGTTCTAAATATATTTACTCACTATATTTTTCAAATACACCAACTCAATATTAGTAATAAATTAAGGATATAATAGAAAAAAGAAAATTATCCTTCGTTGATTTGTCAAAAATGATAAGAAAAAAGAAAAATCAAATTAGAAAAGATTTGACAAGTTAATAGGGACAAAGGAAGTACGTCTAATCAATAAAAAATATTTATTTTAATCTTATTTTATTTATAAAAAATATAATTAAACATAACTTTATTTTCAACTTCAATTTTATTAATTTACAAAAGAAGTACCAATTTTAGGGGTCATTTGATAGAGTATATAAAAATAATACTCACCCTTATTTCATATTAAGTGAATTTGTGAAACCATCCACATATATTAAGAAAAAACATTCAAGGGCATACTTTAAATCATATTTTTCACTACTGTCTTTTCTGAAATGATAAATATAACTTTGTAAGTAGTGTAATTCATCTCCTAAAAAATATAAAACTTCAACAAAGAAAAGGACAAATATAAAAAATTTTGCAAACATTCATTTAGAACTTTGAATAACTCAATTATTTTGAACAATATAAAAAATCTCAAAAATTTAATTAATATAAATAAAGAAAGTACTAAATAAAGTTATATACAATACTCAAATTAATTATGTTGAGACTATATTTTATCCACTATCTGATTTGATTTATTGAGAGTAAGTCTATATAATTTGTTATAGTTATCCTATAATATTGAACATGTATATAACCTGTTAGATTCAAAACCTACCAAATGAAATATTAAATAGTAGTATTATTATCAACAAATATATTAAATTTTTTAAATACAATCCAACTAAACTCCTACTTTGTATTTCTCTCATAGCATCTTCCAAAGGAATTGATTCTCCTTCTTTAGTAAAATCTCCCTTTTCACCTTTTCTTTATTATCAAAAGGTAAATACGATGTGGTCACCCACCTCCGAAGAAGCATACTCTCTTCGTTTCTATTTACTTGTTGATTTGTTATATACATATTATTTTTTTTAAAAAAATAAATAATATATTGAGTTTATTATGTTATTTCTATTAATTGATAGAATTATAAAACTAATTTATTTATTAAGGAAATTTCACTTTAAAAAAAATATTAACTCTCTAAATAAATTAAAAATATAATAAGTAAAATATATTATTTTTTTTGATAAGTGAAAAGGAATAAATAAATAAAAATTAAAATTGAACAAATAAAAAGGGAGACAGAGTAATTTATAGCAACTCTAAAAGAAAATGTAAGCTGACGTTGCCTTTTTCTTCTCCACTTGAGTCCTTCACTTACACCTCCTATATATAAACACATTTTGTACCCAAAGACATCATCACTTCTTTACATATAGATCAAGATGAGTTGTTTATCTACTTTGCTTCTGCTATTTTCTCTTGCTTTTGCTTCTTTTTCCAGTAAGTTGAATTTAACCACTTATGTCTTTAAGTTAATTATTCGATCTCGATATTCTCTACATAGCTGAATCTGTTGTACTTGTGGTAAATTTCAGGTGCAGAAATCTCATCTCAAGTAGGAATATGCTACGGACAACTTGGAAACAATCTCCCAATTCCAAAAAATTCAGTTGACTTAATCAAAGGTCTCAAAGCCAAAAGAGTCAAGATCTATGATACAAATCCACAAATCCTTGAAGCTCTTAAAAGCACCAACCTTCAAGTTTCAGTCATGGTACCAAATGAACTCATAAACAATATCTCTACTAATCAAACCTTAGCTGACCAATGGGTAAAAAACAATGTTGTACCATTTTATCCACACACAATGATCCGTTACCTCCTTGTTGGAAACGAAATCCTTAGTAGCCCACCCAACACCACTTGGTTCAACCTTGTACCTGCTATCCGCAAAATTAGATTCTCCGTCAAGAAATTTGGTTTAGGAAAAATTAAAGTCGGTACTCCATTAGCTATCGATATGCTTGAATCGTCTTTTCCACCTTCAAATGGTACTTTTAGATCGGACATTTCAGAAAAAGTTATGAAACCCTTGTTGCATTTTTTGAATCGAACTAAATCTTTCTTTTTCATTGATGTTTATCCTTATTTTGCTTGGGCTGCTCAACCTACAGTGATTAATCTTGATTACGCCATGTTAGATTCCAAGAACATTACTGTTTCGGATCCGGGTTCGGGTTTGGTTTATACGAATTTATTGGATCAAATGATTGATGCAGTGTATTTTGCTATGAAAAGAGTCGGGTACCCGGATGTTCGGTTATTTATTGCAGAAACGGGTTGGCCTAATGCCGGCGGGGTGGATCAAATTGGAGCGAACATCTACAATGCAGCAACGTACAATCGTAATGTGATAAAGAAGTTTACAGCTAAGCCACCTATTGGAACCCCAGCTAAACCCGGAGTTGTTGTGCCGACATTATTATTTGCATTGTATAATGAGAATCAGAAACCGGGTCCGGGTACAGAGAGACATTTCGGGTTATTGTATCCTAACGGAACAAATGTATATGGGATAGACTTGTCTGGTAAGACGCCTGAATCTGAATATAAGGCGTTGCCGAGAGCGAGGAACAATGAACCGTACAAGGGGAAAATTTGGTGTGTTGTTGGTAGAAATGCAAATGCGTCAGAGTTGGGTGGAGCAATTTCGTATGCTTGCGGGCAGGGTAATCGGACCTGTGATGAGATCCGACCTGGAGGGAAATGTTACAACCCGAATTCTTTGGTGTCACATGCCAATTATGCATTCAGTTCTTATTGGTCTCAGTTTAAGTCATCTGGTGGAACTTGTTATTTCAGTGGGCTTACCATTCCTACCAAAAAAGATCCAAGTAAGTACTTATTTGATAAAATTTTAAATTTCTACCTCGAGTATAGAGCCACTAACGTTGCTTCCCTAGTAGTTGAATTGTTGTTTATAGATTGGTATATTATAATTTAATAATATCTGTCTGTCATTATATTTAATAATAATATGGGTTCTTGTATTTTTGCAGGTTACGGATCTTGCAAGTTTCCAAGCGTCACACTTTAAAAACGGGTCAAATGGAAGCTACGGTGGCAGATGCATACATTAATTGCATTCTTTTCTATATACGTTAGAATAGAGTTACACAAAATTGTCTACTTGTGGAACTCAGGATTATTCCATTAGATTTGTATTCTTCCGTATAGAAGAAAAGAACCTAACCTATTTAATTAGAACAATGTTACATTTTAATAAGTAATTTCTTTGTCCAATAATAGTTGTCCACTTGATTTGACACATTTCTTAAGAAGTAATAAATAGCAGGGCTAATATTACTATACTCTATTATTTTTTGACTTTATTAAATTTAATGTTTTGAGAAATGGGTAAGATGATGAATAGTACTCTTGTTGTTCCAATTTATGTGACTTATTTTTCTTTTTAGTATGTCTCAAAAAGAATGACACATTTTTATATTAAGTAATAATTTAACTTTAAAATGTCTGTTTTAACCTTATTAGATGATTTATTGCCACACAAAATCTTGTCATTCATTTTAGACCACAAGCTTTAAAAGTCTTCATTTCTTTCTTAAACTCCGTACCGAGTCAAAGTACCTCACATAAAATGGAATGGCGAGAGTAATATTTAATAACAAGGGTAAAATAGACATTATAGATAAATTTATCTCTTGATTTTCTAAATTGAACAACTATTATTAGATAATTATTTTTAATATATTGAACTAATTCTTATTAAAAAAGGAGCAGTAAGCAATAATTGTGTGTAGTGAAGGGGATTCAATACATAAGTGCTGTTATCTATTTTCAATGGGCCACAAATCCACTTGTCATAAAATTTGTACGTTAGCATTTCATTAATTTACACTATACTCTCCTCTAGCTAATTTTTATTTGTCCACTTCAGATTTAGTACGTCCTTTGAAGAAGCAACTAATATGAATATTTTTATGATAATAATTAATTGAGGTACAATCTTATTTCTTGGGAATGATCAAATAATGTCAAGAGTAATACATGAAAAAGTATTGTTTTTTTATATAATAAAACGACATGTAAAGGTCAAAAAATATGTTGAGTATCTTTTGGCATAAATTTTTTAAGAGTTAGACAACGGTTATATGATGTTTTTACTGAAAAATGTTGCTGGCACATGCAATTGTTTGCTGCTTTCTATAGGAGGAAAAGGAAAATCTCACCCCCACTGTCTGTAACGGCTATCTTTTCTTCAGTATCACCACACTAAAACTTTATTGGAGAATCTTTTCTTTTCTAGGACATACAAGATTTATTAGTCCACTAGTGGACCAATAGCAAATAGTAGAAAATATGCTTCCTCGATTTAGAGCCTGTGTAGAGATTTCCTAGACTTAGATCCGTTTGGTCATGCAATATAAAATTATAATATTGAATCATGATATAATATCATAATATGAAATTATAAGATGAAATTAAAGTTTGTTTGAACACGCGATATTAAGTTTTTGTATTTTATATTTTCTCATAAACATAAAAATATCATAAGTTGTAAAACTAGTAAAATAGCCCAAATTATTTATTCAATCTTACCAAATAAATAAAAATTAATAAATTGCATAATGAATTATTACAAAGCTATTTGTTCTCCACTTAAGTAACTATTTTTATCTAACTCTAATTGATCAAACTTTAACTCAATAAAAAAAAATTGAACATAATTTATAGTGTACTAGTCTTTAATATAATCCTCCCACATAGTACAAACAATCTCTCACATTGAACTTGCATTTCTTGATCATATGACCAAGAAGACGAACCAACATTGTTACTTTGAGCCATTTGTTGGTCAATATCATTCGCAACTATATTTGCATGCTCATAGATTATAAATATTTCATCACTCTTTTGATATTCTCGTAAATAATTTGTAACATTGTACAAGCTATGACAATTTTCACTTGTGTGTCAGTATCATAATGGTTCATGCCTTGTTTCACTTGTGTGCAATTACACATTTTCAGTGCATTAATTTTATGCTAAAATCGAACATATTGAAAGTAGTGATTATCAAACATAAATCACCAAAAAAAAAATTCATATTAAATTGCTTTAAACATTTTCATATGTAGTCGAAAGCGAAGTTTTTTTATTATGAAAAACCAAAAAAGTGTTACTCCCTTCGTTCTTATTTATATTCACCAAATCAATTTCTACTTTATCATTTATATTCATCAAATTTGAAGTGATAGTAAATTTTTTGTTGATGAGAATAATAAATTTTAAAAAGTAATGATGTGATTATAAATTTTATTTACATATGAAATAAATGGTTAGTAGATATAAATGTGGAGTTGTTTTAACAAAACATAAACTCGTGGATCATTTTTTGTACTTAAAAAATTCAAAATCATGATATGAAATTCCCAAATCATGATTTTTGGAGAATATGAGATTCCATCTCATGATATGAAATCACGAGATGGAATCAACATGAAATCACATGTCCAAACACCGATTTCATCTCACGATTTTATGTCGTGATATGGTATCGCAAAACCAACCTCCTACTTATTAAAGTCTGTTATGTCCTGACCTGTCACTTTATCATACCACTTAGGCATAAAATTGAAGCATAAGTGAGCTAGCCTTAGAGCTTGTTTGGTATTGCTATTGGAAGACCAAAAACACTTACTTTGAGAAAAAAAACATTTTTTTTTTTGAAAAATAAGGTGTTTGACAAATCAATAAAACTGCTTATGCTTTAATCAGCGGTTGAAAAGAAGCTAAAAATTTCTGTTTCTTAAAAAGAGCAGAAGTAGAAGCAGAAAATTAATTTTTACAAGACCAAAATATTCCTTACATATTTACCCATATATCCCTTATTAATTAATTAACATATCTCATAACTTTGGTAAAAGTTTCATTTAAGATTTTTTTTATATAATAATATTTTATTATTTTACTTTTATTATCATTATTTTATATGTGATATTTTAATTATAGTTAAGTCATTATATGAATATTATATGAATATTTAATTTATTTTTTTATTTATCTATGTATAATATTGATTGAACAATTAAATATGTACATTTCAATTCAATAAAAATAAAATTTTGATTAATCTTTTTATAATAGATATTTAAAATAATTTATATCTATAAAATAATCTTCATATTAAAAGTACATTGATAATTGTCTTTTTTTTTTTTTTGTAATTTATACTTAAAAGCACTTTTTAAAAGAGATTTACCAAACTCAATTTGCTTATCAAAAACACTTTTCAAATAAATTAGTCAAACACAAATTTCTTTTTTTCAAAAACACTTTTCTAAAAAGCTATTTTTAAAAAGTGCTTCTAAAAATAAGTAGATTTTAGCAGCAATGCCAAATAGATTCTTAGTGGGAAGAATCCAGAGTTATGTAGAGGTTTAGAGCAGACTCTAGAATACTCAAGAAGAGTTCTTGGAAGACCTTAGAAAACTCTAGACTTGTAGAGAATTCTAGAAGAGAGGCTTATTTGTAAATATGTAGGAACTTGTGTAACAATTTTTATTTACATCTTAGCCCCTAGGAGTGTAGTATAAACAAAGGGACATTCATTAGCAACTTAACCAAGCAAAAACAAGCAATCCTTCAAAGCAATACAAAAACCTCCTTATAGATTCTCTTGTGTCTTTCTTCATTCTCTTAGCGATTTAGTTTGAAAAGGCTTGCTTGAGCGTACAAGATTGCAAAAAAATTGTGAATAAGTTGTCGAGTGCCGCATGAAGTGCTGAGCTGGATTCTAAGTCCATGGCAGAGTGGTATCAGAGCAAATGTTGATACTGAGGGAATAACAAACGAGGGAAACATCAATGTTGCTAGCACTGCCAACGTCAGATAGGATGATGGAAAGAAGCATCGAAATGAAAGGATGGATTTTAAGAGTAATGAGGAACTATTACTCGATCCTACACCAAACGAAGCGCTGACATCTCACCCACTTTCGACCACTGAGGTAAGTGACGATGAACATGGAGAGGAGCCCATTGACATCACACCTAGAGTAGAGTGGATCGCGAGGGTTGACAAGGTGAGACAGATTGTGGAGATCTTAGGCAAATGTTTGAACGAGGTCGATAGAAAATTCAAAACTCTCGAGGACTTTACCCTTGAAGAGAATGACAATATACGCAAGGGGTTGGAGGGGTGCAAGCATGCAGAATATGATATGAAGGAAGCTATCACTTCGTTAGAGTGTCGACTCATGATGCATTAAGTACAATTAAAACCATGAGAGCCGAGATGAAAGCACTCAAAGAAGGGATTGAAGTTGGATGATCTGCGTCATTTGACAAATATATGGAGACCAAGGTTGAGGCTCCCAAGCCACCAGTGTTCAAAGGCTTTCGTGATGCGCAACAAGTAGAGAATTTCCTTTGGCATTTTGAGAATTACTTTAAGTGTAATAGGGTGAAGAGTGACAAAAACAAGATCAACACTATCGTATTGTACCTCTCAGATATGACCATAATATGGTGGAAACGTAAAGAGTTCGAGATAGGGAAGGGACTTTGCACCATCAACACATGAGAGAATTTTTGAGATAAGTTCAAGGTCTTCTTTCCCAACAATGTTATCTATGAGGGAAAATTCAAATTTATGAAATTGAAGCAGCGAGTACTGTTGATACCCAATTTTGTCCCTCCTTTCTTCTACTTTATTTTGTTTGAGCTTCTAAATTATTAGTAAGTTGAATACTTTATATTTTACTATTATTTTCGCTTAGTACTATTGTTACATTAATTATCTATTAGATACTATTATTACTATTACTCTAATTTTCATTATTTCTTATGATCTTTCTACTATCATTTTCACTATTTTAAAATTATTTTTTTAAAAATCTAAACTTCACTATTATTACTTTATTATCGTCTTTTTTAAGATGATTGTTGTTACTTTATTTTAAGTTTCTTATCTACTAAGCTTTATACATAATATATATTATACTAGTTATTAAATTAGAAGCTCAAACAAATTAATTTAAAGAAAGAAAGAGGCCATGAAAATCTGTCCATTTTTCAATCCATTTTACAAACTTAAGATATTCAACAATAAAGTCCAAGCGTAGCAACCCAACTACCTAATTGAATAGACCCATTTCACTTAACCTAGTCCTAAACTCATCAGCCACTCCTCATTCTTTCTTCACGTCTTATTCAAGACAAATTCCAAAATGCCTTCGGTCAAAACAGGTTTTTGCTCTGCAAT